TGAAGGGAGACATATATATGGTGATGGATAAACAAAAATGTACAACCCAAACCTTCACAATGTTAAAAACTATTAAAACATCAATTAAAAAAAAGAAAACACAGGGGAAAAATTCCTTGACATTGGTCTTGGCAACGATTTTTGGATATGACACCAAAAGCACAAGCAACAAAAGCAAAAATAAAGTGGGACTGGCCAAACTAAAAAGCTCCTGCAGAGCAAAAGAAACCATTAACAAAATGAAAAGACAATGTACTGAATGGGAGAAAACATTTGCAAAGCTTATCTGATAAGGAGTTAATATCCAAAATATATAAGGAACTAATACAACTCAGTAGCAAAAAATAAATAATCCCCTTTAAAAAATGGGCAAAGGACCTAAATAGACATTTATGCAAAGATATTCAGATGGCTGACAGGTACGTGAAAAGGTGTTCAACATCACTAATCATCAGGGAAATACAAATCAAAACCACAATGAGATATCTCCTCATACCTGTTAGAGTGGCTATTATCCAACAGAGATAAGAGCTGGCAAGGATGTGGAGAAAAGGGGACCCTGGTGCACTGTTGGTGGGAATGTAAACTGGTGCAGCCACTATGGAAAAGACCTACTATATCATTCAGCAATTCCACTTCTGGGTATATAACCAAAGGAAACGAAATCACTATCTTGAAGAGATATCTGCACCCCCTTGTTTACTGCAGTATTATTTACAGTAGCCAAGACATGGAATCAACCTAAGTGTCCATCGATGGATGAATGGATAAGAAAACGTAGTGTGTGTGTGTGTGTGTGTGTGTGTGTGTGTGTGTGTGTGTAATTATATATATATTATTATTCAGCCATAAAAAAAATGAAATCCTTCCATTTGTGACAACGTGGATGGACCTTGATGGCATTATGCTAAGTGAAATAAGTCAGAGAAAAACAAATACTATATGATCTCACTTATATGTATAATCTAGAAAAACCAAACTCACAGAAACAGAGGGTAGACTGGTGGTTGCAGGGGAGGAGGGTGAAGGAGGTCAAAGGATACAAAGGGTACAAACTTTCAGAACATGATAAATAAGTTCTGAAGATGTAATGTACAGCACGGTGACTACAGTTAATTATACTGTACTGTATATTTGAGAGTTGCCAAGAGAGTAAATCTTAAAAGTTCTCAACATACACACAAAAAAATTGTAACTATACAAGGTGATGGATGTGTAAACTAACCTTATTGTGGTAATCACTTCACAATATATTCTTATATCGGATCATCATATTGTGCACCCTAAACTTACGTAATTATATCTCAATAAAGCTTGGAAAAATTAAATTAAAATTTAATGGAAAAAAAGAAAAACAAGACCAGAGTGTTGCCTCCTCCCCAGGAGGTCCCACTTGCCACCTCTGGGACTCACCTCTAGGGAGAAAGCACAAGGGGTTAGGACAAGCCCTGTTTAGCCTGCCCTCTGGCTGCTGCCTGGAAGTGGCTGGGTTTTATCTTGCAAAGGAACTGGTTGTTGCTTTGAGCTAAGGAAGACAGATGAGACACCAGGTCATGAGCTTCCGCTGGGCCCTCAGAGCCCTGTCCTGGAGGGGTGGGGGCAGGTCATAGAGGCCCAAGGCCAGCTTACTGGGCGTCTCTCTAACCCAATTCTCAAGGAAGGAGCTGATTCCTGGGCTGAGGCCCAAAATTTAACACAGTGCAATCCTCTAGAACCAGATCTCTCCCTCTCTCCTCCTCTTCCTTTTCCCCTTCGTCTTCACATCTGTGGTTATTTCAGCAAGTATTTATTGAGTATAGACTGTGTACCCAGCCAGGAGCTAGGCACCACGAGAGAAATTTATTCATTCAACGAACACATAACATTCCAGACAGTGATCTGGGCCTGGAAACAAAACCAATCAATCCTTGACCAAAAGACGGGAAGAGTGAAAAGAACCCAACATCCATCAACAGAGGAAGAGATAAACACAACACGCTGTATCTGTACAAGAGGATATCCAACCATAAACAGGAATGAAGCCTGCTGCAGCATGGATGAACCCTGAAAACACGCTAAGTGAAAGAAGCCAGTCACAAAAGACCACATACACTGTGATTCCATTCATATGAAACGTCCAGAATAAGCAAATTCATAGAGATAGAAAATAGTTTAGCAGTTGCCGAGGACTGAGGGAGTGACTGCCAATGGGTACAGGGTTTTTTGGGAGTGATGAAAATGTTCTGAAATTGACTGTAGTGAAGGCTGCACAACTCTGTGAATATACTGAAAACCACTGAATTGCATACTTTAAATGGGTGAATGGTATGGTATGTGAATTATATCTCAATAAAGCTGATATTTTAAAAAATCTATGCCCTGACGAATAGGGGGAAGAAGGGGAACCAGAACAATAAACAAAATACTTAAGTAACCACATATAATATACCAAAGATCAATGCTGTGGGGAGAAATAAAGCAGGCAAGGAAGACCGTACAAGGAAGGAATCTGCAATTTTTATAGGATGGAGACAGGCGGCTTCGCTCATGACGAAGACCTAAAGGAGCAGAAGGAGCCAGCAGGCAGCTATCTGGGGACAGAGTGCTCCAGACGTCAGGTCCAGGAAACCCTAGTACTCATCAGCGCCGGGCAGACAAGAGTCCAGCTGAGAGCAAAGAGCTCTGAGCAGCTCTGAGTGCTGGGAGAAAGGGAGCCCCCTGCTTGTGGGACAAAGAACTCCAGGTGCGGTAAGGGTGTTGGAACTGTGAACACCAGTTCAGGGGCCAGTCAGTGCCAGGCCCACAGCAGGAGTTCTAAAACTATCCATCTGCCGAAGGAATGAATAACTAATCAACCAACTCCGCCCCAAGGCTACCTCCAGCCCTACCTGAACCCTGAGGCCCCATTACCTTTCCAGCTCAGTTTGATGTTCCACTCATAGAAGAAAATCAGCTTTCCTTTGCGGCTGCTGCAGGAAGCCTCGCCTTCCACCTGCTTCAGCTCACTGATCTCGCAGCGGCCAGCCTCATTCTCCACGACGATGCCCACCAGGAGCTCGCGGAGCTTCCCCTTGGACCAACCAGTGGCATCTCGCTCTGTCCTGCCAGGGACCAGGAGGGCAGAGCCATGAATGGAAGCCCCAGCTAATCTCCACATACCCGGCCTGGGGCAGCAGGTAACACCAGGCCCTGCCCAGATCAGATCAGCCAGAGTCCTCTCGAGCGGCCTTGAGAGACCCGCCACCCTCAAACTTACAAACTTGCTTCTCAAACCAGCTTTCTGTCATATATCTTTTAATCCTCCTACTCAGTTTCTTGAGATATTATTATCCACCGTTGGCTTAAAAACGCAGGCTCATTTTAGGGGAAGGGGGTCTAGCAATCTCACCCATTGGAAATGGATGGGCAAAGCCTGAGCTTTGAGTAATAAAGTAGTTATTACTCCTAAGAAAAGACAGTAATAACTGAAACAATTTTAATCATAATCAGACAAATTATCGCGTGTTTTCACATATATATTAGCTCATGCAATCTTCCCAAATAATGTTCCCATTTTAGGGAGTGGAAAGGAGCTGAGAGAAGTCCATGATGTGTCCATGGTGACAGGGCTAGGAAAGGAGAGGTCAGCTCTTCTGAGCTGAGCCCAGGCCAGGGCTCCCCCAGTAAAGGATCCCCTCACAGGCTGACAGCTCTGCTCTGCCTTGGACCTGCCTAAGCAACACCTTTATGGGCTTGAAGTACCACAGCCCTCTGAGGAGCAGGACAGAGAGCATCGCTTCCTGAAGCTCTGGGGGAGAGAGGGAGGCAGGAAACAGCCCATGTTCCAGATGAGGTACACAAAGGATGGGTAACTTGTTCAGACTCCTAGAAAGCAGGGCTCACCAGAAGTCCATCAAGTTAGACGTCGAGTTGAGATCCCAATTCCTGTTCTTTCCACTACATTCATACCAAAACACACACACACACACACACACACACACACACACACACACATTCTAGCTCCCTTTTAACTCCCAGAAACATCAAGAGGGTTGGGTGTGGGAATGGGGTAAGGGAAGGGAAGCTCTTAAGGTCACAGACTGTCAAAGTTGAAGAGCGAGGTCAGAAGTCATTCCTGGGGCCCAACCCAACTTTCAAAAAGAGGAAAGGGAAGTCCCAGAGCAGTGCAGATAGGATCCCAGGTCCCCAGACTCAACGGGCACTCCCAAGCCCTGAGACTAACGAGGAGCCGCTCTTAAGGCAGCTGGGGGAGCGGAGGGGGAATCCTCTGCACCTGTGCAGGCCCCCGCCCCACGGAGGGATGCTCACGGCGCGAGAGGCGCCCCGAGGGACCCGCCACCCCTCCCCCGGGCACGGGGCGCCGGGGGCTTGCAGAGGGTCCCCACCGTCCCGCCCGGCGGCTCCGGAGGCAGAGGCCGGCAGCCGCATCGGGCCCCGGCCGCGCCCGCCGCACCAGTGCCAGTTGTTCACGTTGGTGCCGTCCTCCCGCTCCTCCACGATCCAGCGCGGGTCGCCCTGGCCCCACTTGGCCATGTCTGCGCGGCCTCGGCGGAGAACAAGGCAGGGCCGCGGCGGCGGCTGCAGCGAGACTCGGCCGCCGACGTTTCCGGCCCCCGAGCCCGGGATCAGAGCGCTCGCGGCGCCCAGAAAGTGCCAGAAATCCCCGCCCCCTGCACCGCCCCGCCCCGCTGCGGAGCTCCGAAGGAGCGGGAGCCGGGGCCGCGTTCCGAGAGGCCGGGCGCGGGGCGGGGCCCGGAGGCGGGGGAGTCTGCGCCCGGGAGGCCGGGGCGGGGGCGCGGGGTCCCGGGGGCGGGGCTCGCGGGGGGTGCGGGTCGGGCCCGAGAGTCGGGGGGCGGGGGCTGCGGAGAAGGAGCGGGGGAGGTCGGGGCCCAGGAGACCCGGCTCCGGGGGCGGTGAGGGAGGTGTCCGAGACACCGGGCTGGGGGGAGTGGGGGGCGATCGGGAGGCCGGGGCCCCGCTGAGGGACTCGCAAGGGCAAGGACCCGGGAAGGGGGAACCTCGGCCCCCTGCGGAAGGTCGAGGCTCCTCTCAGGGATTCATTATTATTACTGCAATGGTTATTCGCAGTGCTAGCAAGCGGGGCGATGAGTAAGAGGCGCCTGAGAGCGGTAGTGGGGATGCAGACAGGAAGCGGCTGCAGCCTGTCGCTGACCGCGCTAATTGTATTTAGTGACCCTGGTCCCCGAGGATACGACCCAAGCACTTCACCACCCTGTTTGCTGTGCGACCGACTTGAGGTCGGAGCGCCCACGGTGCGAAGTGGTCTCCGCCGTGCGCGCTCTCCTTACACCTTATTCACGTTTTGTTTGCAAGTTCCTGCAGAGTTGGTGCACTATGGTTCTCACGCCTGTCCAAGAAGTACGAACTACCAAGTTCCCAGTTACTTCAGGAAGGTTTACATTTTATTCGTGTAATAATCCTTTATAGATGACAAAAGAATGTGATTTCAGGCCTATATTATTGCAGCTTGATGCAATTTTACAATAATTAAGTGGATATTAATGATTCCTTTAACGAATTTGCACCTTGTAGCAAAAACTTTGCGCTATTTGGAAAATGTCACTGAAGGGTCTGTGGATATTAATTAGCGGGGAAAATGGGTATGACAATGGAAGGGTGGGAGTACCTCACTGTTCCGTTCCCCTGTGGTGACCTGCCCTTTGCCTGTGGTCTGTGCTCATCAGTGACATAAACTAACTGGTGGAGAACATTTTCTCCATTTGCTTACTGGAGCTATTACCTCCCAACATCATTTTCCAAAAAGCTATGACAGTTATGTAAACAGACTGCTTCAAAGTGTTTTGACCCCAAAACAAAATGACATTTTGATTTCACCTTTTACACTTTACTTCACCAAAAGCATGGACAGCTAATACAAGATATCCAATAGAAAAGAATTGCAATGGCAAAATGAGTGGGCACTGTTTTCTTGTGGATTAGCTGTTCCATCTTTTTATCCAATTCTTAAAGAATATTACTGATGGAACATTACATGGTAAGATTTAGATCTAATGTATAATTGAAACCTGGGGGAAAAGAAGACTTACCAGAAAACTTACAAAGGCAGAAGCTACAGTCACTAAAATATTATGTGGACAAAAAAAATTTGTGATATTTAAACAAAAAGAATTTATCTCAATGGAAATAATTTTATTAAAATGTAAATGGAAAAGGTATTCTATGTAGATAATTGATCAAGAATTAAATTGGCCTAAAAGAATTTGCTCCAAAAAGTAATCTCACAAAGAAAATCTTCAGAATTAATGTAATTCTTATTAAAATATTTGGCTTTAAAAAACTGTCAAGAGTCTCAAAGAGGTATCTGTACACCCATGTTCATAACAGCATTATTCACAGTAGCTAAAATGTGGAAGCAACCCAAGTGTCCATTGATGGATGAATGGATAAGCAAAATGTGGTATATACCTACAATGGAATATTATTCATCCTCAAAAAGGAAGTTCTGACATATGCTACAACATGGATGAACTTGGAGGTTCATAATATGCTATTAATGTGAACGCAGCATATTAAGATTACGTTAAGTGAAATAAGCCAGTCACAAAAAGACAAATACTGCATGATTCCGCATATATGAAGTATTTAGAGTAGTCAAAATGATAGTGACAGAAAGAATGATGGTTGCAAGGGGCTGAGGGGAGGGGGAAGAGGAGTTATTGCTTTACAGGTATAGAGTCACAGTTTTACAAGATGAAAAAAGTTCTGGAGACAGACAATGGTGATGGTAGCGCAACACATTGAATGTATTTAATACCACTAAACTGTACACTTAATGGTTAAGATGGTAAATTTTATGTGTATTTTACCACAATAAAAAAATGGGGAAAAAACCCTAAATCAATGAATAAAATATTGTTGGGGAGGAGGATATTCACACAGTGTGAAGGTATCACTCACCCTACCCCACCCAGTTTACTTATTAACTACAAAAGGGAGAAGTGATCTTTAGAAGGGAGAAATCTAGCAACAGACCACCTTTTTTTTTTTTTTTTTTTTTTTTTTTTTTCCCCCCAAAGCCCCAGTAGATAGTTGTATGTCATAGCTGCACATCCATCTCGTTGCTGTATGTGGGACGCGGCCTCAGCATGGCCAGAAAAGTGGTGCGTCGGTGTGCGCCCGGGATCTGAACTCGGGCCGCCAGCAGCGGAATGCGCACACTTAACCGCTAAGCCACCGGGCCGGCCCTAGACCACCTTAACCAAACGATCAAACTCAGCATCACCAATAATGGAGCAAACTGACATAATTCACTGTCACCTATGTAATATTCCTGCCAAAAATGCTTAATCTGAATCTAATCAAGAGGAAACAATCAGAAAAGTCCAAATTGAGGGAAATTTTGCAAAATAAGTCTGGCCTAGACTCTTCAAAAATAAACATTTTGTAGGAATGTCAAAAGAAGACTAAGGAGGGGCCGGCCCCCATGGCCTAGTGGTTAAGTTCAGCGCACTCCACTTCGGCAGCCCGGGCATGGACCTATACCACTTGCCAGCCATGCTGTGGCAGTGACCCATATACAAAATAGAAGAAGATTGGCACAGATGTTAGCTCAGGGCAAATCTTCCTCACACAAAACAAAACAAAACAAAACAAAACAAAAAACCTGGAAGCAGGAAATGAGATTTGTCAAGGTGGAGAGGAGGTAACAGGTATGAGAGGTATTTGGAAGTGGAATTGTTGAGTGGATCAGATATTGGGGTGTCGTGGAGGAAGTTTTTCTCAGTGACTGGGACTTTCAGCTTGGTTAGTTAACATCAGCCTGAGGCTAGAATGAGAAGAGGCTGGCAGAGGGCTTAGGTTATAACTCTGGAGATCAGCATTTAAGGGGTGAGCAGAGAAGATGGAGCCTGAAAAGGAGCACCGAAAGGAGGAGGAAGAAAACGAAGAAGGTATTTCATCATGGAAGCGAAGGTCCATGATGGAGGGAGTGGCCAGCAGCGGTAGGTATTGAAAAGTGCAAGTAGGATAATAAAGAAATTGTTCTTTGGATTTGACAAGAGGGACATTGTCCCTTTGCAGAGAGCAGTTTTCAGTGGACAATGGGGGCAGAAGCCAGGTCGTGGTCAACAGAGGAATGAATGAAGGTGGAGACCCTGTCTTCAAAATGCTTGACAAGAGTGGGCAAGAGAAATGGACAGTAGCTAGATGGGGATATAAGGTGAAGGGAGATTTTGCCTTTTCTCTTTAAATGCTTTCATATGCAGACGGGGACTAGCTGGTGAAGGAGGACAGGTGGTAGAGCAAAGCCCCGGAAGCCAAGGGAGGAGATGAGTCCAAAAGCAGGTGGGGATCAACCTGGAATAGGAAGACCCACGGGGAAAGGGTAAGGATGGATATTTCTATACCAAGCTTGGTTTTGATAGGTTTGATGTGGGGAGTGGGGGGGGGATGAGTGAGGTGGCAAGTTGGACAGCTTTAGGTGGCATCTTACCTGCAGCAAAGTGAGGATGATGACACTGACAGGCTTTAGGGGAAGAAATGCTCTAAGGATGTCTTTTTTCCCATAACCAATCTGCGCTGGGGTCAGCTCAAATCATTTTCACTTTTTCTAAACACAACTAACGCCACTACACTTTCTCTACGTCTGGAGAAAGGAGTTGAAAAGTATATATCCAGGATTGACTCTTATCAGCAGTGCACTAGAGAATCAGGACTTTGATTCAAATTTCACATCACAATAGATCTATGAACTGCTAAGATTCTGCTTTTGAGGAAGTCACTATTCTAATTTGTTTTCATAATTCTGATGCTCATGCCTCAGTTTGATTTAATTCCATTAATATTTATTGAGCCACCAATATGCACATCTGCCCCAAGCACACTATTGCTGGCGGTGTGCTGCGGGCAGTCATTTGCTCTCAATCTTCACTCGCCTGCTGCCTCAAGGAAGGAGTTCTTCCTCCTCTTTATCCCAATGCCAGTGCTGTTCCCGGCATACAGCAGGCACCAGGAAATGTTTGTTTGGATGACTGAATGAAAAAAGAATGAATATTTCTCAAACCTGTATGTTCCAACCTATTAAGAGGCTGTAAAATCAATTTAGTAGGCATCCACCATCATTTTTATCTTAATGAAATAGGTTAGAGTTTAAATGATCAGAGTGATTACATATGGTAAAGGTAAATATTGTTTCTTAAATCTGTGTGTGCGTGTGTGTGTGTGTGGGGGTATGTTATGGTTATATTAGATTTCTTTTTTTTTCCTCCCCAAAGCGCCAGTACATAGTTGTATATTCTAGTTGTAAGTCCTTCTATTTCTTCTATGTGAGCTGCTGCCACAGCATGGCAACTGACAGACGAATGGTGTGGTTGCATGACTGGGAACCAAACCTGGACCACCAAAGTGGAGGGTGCCAAACTTTAACCACTAGGCCATCAAGGCTGGCGCACATTTTTTTTTTTTAAGTTTGAAAGCCACTGCTGTAGCAAACACAAAGGTAAGTACAATAACTTACAACTAACCATTGATCTGTTTTGCACACTGTAGAATCCCCAATGCCTAGCACACAGCAGATCTCAATAAATATTGGTTGAATGAATCAATTCATAGGAGTAAAAGAAGACATTGGTTGAAAGGATATGAAAGGAGAGAACTGGGCTTTGAAGGATGGATGGAATTTTAATA